GAGTTTTCAATAAAGTAGGACTCCACTGCAGGAAGATTGCAGTCTAATAAGGTTAAGGGATTGTGGAAGAGGCATGCAAGGTCTTGGAAAAATATATCCTTTCTAAGCCATTAGACTTTAAAGTTTTAGTTTGAGGTTTTTCAGATAGCACGTCTGTATCAGAACAAAACCAAACCCCCCTAAAGTTCATTTAGGAAAAAAAACACCCAAACAGAAAGGTTGTGATTCCCCAAACATTTTCTCAAGTCCAGTTGCTACTGTGTCTTAAACTTCGGTTGTCAAGACACAGCTACTGCATCTTTCTTATTCCTCATTTTCACCAGTGCTCAGTTTCTCATTCCTAATTCTAACACAGCATTTTATTCCAATCCCAGCCTTACCCTCAGAATGACTCCTCACCATGCCTTTCGCCTGCCCCAGAGCAAGGCCTCAGCTTCCATTTCACATGTCTGCAGATATGGAAAGCATTTCTGTACACTGGATTACTCAAACTAAAACTGTCACTCTACAAGAACAGTTGAGCAAGAAAATCAAAGTCAATGGACCAGGTCACTGACCGTCAACAGAGGCCTTCAATCACCTGTCAAACATCTTTACTGCTCAAGCCATAAGCCCAGAAACAGGAGTAAAGCAATGCCTGAAACAAATCCTAGCCCTCAAAATTCAGTGTCTTGCACAAGTCTTCCACAAGAACTGGAGAACAGAGCTGATGAGCTCATGTAGGCACCTCCCCTGCAGTCAAACTACCTTGACACAGTTTCCTCAGCTGTGGTTTGAAAATCTTCTTGGGGTTGTCCTTCAGATGGCAGCATACTTGCTGCAATTACTCTCTTCTGCTACGAAGCCTTTTGGGTGTCTCCAGGGAGCCTGGAAAGGCCCTTCCAGCTCTGTATTGCACAAATGTGTGGAACACATGAAAGAAATTACAGATTCAGTGTCCCTTAGTTCACCTTCCTTAAACTCCACCTGTGAATTGTACCGTCACAGAGCTTTTTCCTAACTTAGGGTGTATGCATTTTTCTCAAGCCCCAGGAGAACAGAAATAACGAAAGGGAGATGGGAGTAAAGCAGCAAAAAGGTCACTGTAGGAGAACTCTAGCTTTTCAAATTTGAGCCTTTCAAGGAAAAAGTTGCTGATTTTCTCTTCCTGTAGAGTATCATAAGGCAGCAAGAAGGTCATTGTAGGGGAACACTACCTTTTTCAAAATTGAGCCTTTCAAGGAAAGAATTAATGATCTTCTCTTACTGCTGAGTATCACACCTGCATGTGTCAGAGAAAAAAGACAGGAGGCTGTCTGTTGAAAATAGAAGGATGTGCTTTTTTTTTATGATTGCAACTGCATTTCTACCTCTAAGAATTATCATATTAAGTTAATCTACAAAAACAATGCCATCCTGATCTCAAGATCTGGGCATGCCTACTGTAAGTGGCTGCTGTTCCTTCCCTTCCTCTGAAATACCCAATGATCAATTTAATGAAGAACACCAGAATGGGACAGGGCTCCAAGGGTTGTTAAACTTTTTTTATTTAATTATTGATCCATGAAGAAGAGGAAAGAACAGAAGAGCGTTTTCTGTTCAACATCAGAGCAGCCACAGAGGTCTATAGGAAATGACCAGTTGTACTACGACTGCAAGTGCTCCTATGCTTGGTATTAGATGACCCAAATTTCCTTCTATCTCATCTTCTAATTGCATTCCCTCTTGTTTTTAAATAATATTTCCTTCAAAGTATCTGGTCAGAACTCCATGGCAACACTAGTGTTTATGAAAGTTGTATAACATAATAATTATTTTTCTAAAAATCAGCCATCAGTCATGTGAATGTACACTGATGATCTTGCACACTTTCCTACTCTCCCCTCTCCTGTTTTTAAGACTTAGTGCTTCTACGACAGCCTCAAAGATGACATACAGAAGTACTGATGGGGCACCACAAAAATCACTCTATTTTCTATTCACTGAATTACAGTCATACATATTGGGTGCTTCCTTCTCTCCACCTCAGGATATGCAGGTTTGCTTTTACTAAGATCATTTTGTATTGACTACCTGCATAGAAACAGAAACAGCACAAATTATACTTTTTTTGAGCTAGAAGCCAGTCTTCTCAGCATCACATGCTGCCAAAAGAACAGTTTGCTTCTTGTCCCACTAGGACACTAGCTTATAGGGTCACATTTAAAGCAATGCAGAAAGTCACCAGGGCATCACTCTCATCACCTGGATACTATTATAAAACCACATATAAGGCACAGAACAACCCTGGATATCCACTTAGGATGCTATAACATTTTTCTAATGTTTGCTAACAGCTCCTCCAATCAGCCATATGCAGAATATAGCAAGTGCTTATGCACAGTCTGCTCCACTTCACTAGTGATGTGTGAAAGCTGAGAGCAATGTAGCCACAGTAACTTTTGTTTAAAACTAGGGCACAATTAAGTGCATCTTCATACGGCTTAAGTAAGTTCCAGCTTCCTGTTCTGGAGTGGCTTTAGTAAAATCTCATTTTCTTTGTTCCTATTGCTCACGTGCCTGCGATGTGCAAAACCTGCAATCCAGTTATTACACTTCCTCTGAACATGGCCAGAACTTCAGGCTGTGAGGAACCAGACAAAAAAACAAATAACCATGAGAGGGGCACAATCTTGCAAGCAGAGAACCCAAGCAAAAATAAATTCTCCTGTATAACATGAACTGCCACCTCTTATGAAATAAATAAAAATAGCAGCAGCAAGTGGCAATACAGGTAATGTGCAGTTTTTCTTTCTAAGATCACCAGCTTTTCTTCAATAAGACTATAAAGCAATGTAGCATTTGGAAAATTGAGTAATTCTGGTTCTGTCTTGATTGTGATATGATGAGTTCTAATACAGTAGCAGAGACATCCTGGCAATTATAGTTCTTGCTGTGCACAATGCAGTAGTATTAAGACTGTATTTCCTCAAGATGAAAAAAGGAGTCTCAGTCAGGAGTTTATCTTTGACTGTCACTTCTGAAACATGCTAAGCAATTCTGAACTAATATGAGAAAAAGATTCTCCTCATTTCACTTTTCCTTTTGGAATAATTAATTAGCTAAATACTTTTCAGCCAGTACAGCCAAAGCCCTAGCTGAAGTCTCTTGCCTTATTTAAGTAGATCCTACTAACTTTTCTTCTGTTTTAATCCCCATTGCTATTTCATGTCAATCACTGTCCTAAAAGAAACTCAGTAATTCCATTCTCTTTTTTTTTTTTTTAAACAAAACAGAAAAAGCTCTGAATTGCCATGTTGGTGACAATCTCTATCATTACAATAAAGAAGACTGGTACTTTTGAATGAGCAACTTCAAGGCTGGAAATCATGTTCCTTTGTTACTTTTTCCTGTCTCTCCACAATTTTAAGATTAAGTAGAAATAAAAGTCATTGCAGGTTGAGGACTTGAACAGTTCTAAAACTGCAGCTACCAATTTAGGGGCTTTTTATCAGGACCTTTTGGTTTTTTTCCTTTTTTTTTTTTTTCTTGATAAAGCCAATATTTTCACCCAGAGAATATAGAACTTGCCTAAATTTTCAAATATTCAGCTAAAGGTTTTAAATAATCCAAATGAATTCACAAGCAAGGAAAAAAACAAGCTCTTTCCTCCCCTCTACTCTCCATCTGGCCAAAAAAGAAAATAGGCATAAGATGACTTCCATGATTACCTACTAAATTCCATTTGTTGTACATACAAAAGTTTCCTCAGACTCTGCCACGGTATTTAGGATCAAACTTATCACTTTATAGTCATCAGAATATATTTATGGCATCCATTCTGCTCAGGACAAAAGAGATTATGTTTTAATATCTATTAGTAATCTGTAAAGATATTTACATGGGGGAAAAGTGTTAATAAAGGCTGAAGTTTTTCCCTGATTCATTTCAGGTACACCAGCAAATCCTGCCCCAAACCAGCTGGTACTGGGCTGTCTCCTCTCTGTCACTGTGCTGCAGTTACCTTCCAGCAGCATGGAAGTGTCAAACCTGATCCAGATTCTTTCCTTCCTTCTGAAAAATGTTTATCCATCACAGCATTATCACCTTCTGAACACCCTTTTATTCACATGTTGTAGACTTTATCCTCTCTACAGCTTGTAGACACTTCCTGTTTACGAATGCTGAACAGGAAAGTAAATCTGGGTATCTGAAGACAAAACCTAAGTGAAACTGAAGCTAAGGTACAAGCAGAAATGGCACCAGTGGGGCTGACATATATTTCTACAAAGCTAGAGTTTCTAACACCATGCAAGGCTCTTCTATTGGCAGGCAGTAATGGCAGAGAAGCAGTGGCCCAAACCCTGGCTCTTGAGCTGTTCTGTGTTTGCTCACATGTGATTCAAACAGTGGTCTCCAGCCAAGGCTCGCCCTCATGGTCAGCAGTGGATCAGTGTGCACTGGCACACAGACAGCTGGGCAATCCAATCTTCTCAGACTCCAGCCAGAATGAGCCATGAGAGGCTGGTGCCACTGGCTCAGCCTGGACTGCTGCCACAGCCAGGCTGTCAGCACTAGAAAGCTGCCACTCTCTCTCAACTATGTGACATGCTTGTGTTTTCCCTTCCTTACCTCTTGTCCTCTAAAGATAGATTGAGCCCCACTCATCACTGATAAATGCCATGGAGTTCCAAAGGCTGACCACTCACACACACTGCCACTGATTTGTTATTTTCTTTGTACACCTGCAGAGCAGAGAGGGAGAAGAGGTGCATGTTCAGCTCCAGCAGGAGACCTGCATTTACCCACTCCTCTCACCAACTACCAACCTCAAAGACAAGAAATGAGGCACAACAGAAGTATCCTAACCAAAGCTTCCCCCTCCAGAAATGTCAAATCAAGATGGCATTTGCGACCTAGAGAAGAAAAATACTTCCTAAAATGCTTGATCTAATCTCAGCTGAACTGAATCTGTCTCATCTGAGCTTTGTGTATCAGAGTCAGAAAGAGTTAGAGACATGCCTGTAAAATCTCTTTTCCAGCCTCAGCTGGGTAGCCCTGGTAAATGTCCTGGGAACAGCAAAAATGAATATTGCAAGACAACAAAAACACCCAGAGGGTATCCCAGCCTGATGAGGAATTATATTAGGCTCATTGAACCAAGTCCTGGATGATTAAAAACATTCAGCATTCACCATATAACAGTGTAGTAATTCAATAGTATTATTTAGATGTATTTTCATTTGCATAAATAAAGCCAAGAGAAACACCATTTCTGTGCCATAAATTGTTGCTCTTCAAGGTTTCTGAGAGTACCGCTTTCTTTTACTTGGGAACTGCTTAATAAACTATATTCATCATTATTTAGCCTTCTCTTGTGTGTGGTGCTCTAGTCCTCCTACAAGATCCCAAGGAGACAAATCATAGCAAATTACTAAACCTTTAATTTACTTTTGACTAAAAAACTTAAGGGAAGGAAAAGTAATGCATATACACGGGCAAACTGCTTCAAGACAACAGAAACTTTGGAAGGTGTAACTGCTTGCCTCTTTTTTCTTTTCTAGATTTCAAATGGATTAAAACAGGCCTCAAATATGTTGCAGGGAGATCTTATTCACTTAATGGAAAGATGTATCAGTCAGTCAAATAAACACTCCTGCTGATTTAAAAGTTTGTGTTAGGCTGAGTTAACCCTTTGTCGTATACATTTTTGTGCAGGAGAAAATGAACATGAAGAAAATGAAACAACACAGTTTCTTAAATTATGAAGATAAGAAACTTATATTCCAACTAAAAAGGCAATCTTGTACCATGAAAAAGAAATTGTCCTCTAAATTTACTGGCATTACTTCTCTTAACACTAAGCTAGAAAAATCATATAAAACCACAAACTCAAATGGCCATCCAAGTTTCATAATAACTACTAACTTCCAAGAATCAATCCTATACTTTTTCTTCCACAAGATATCCCTGTAAACAAATAACACATTTCCCAGGAATAGGTATAATAGAATTGTTATAAAATGGAATACTGTATTTGTTCAATATATACAAACACTACAGATTGGAAGCAAGCTTATATTAATTCTTTTGAAGAATCTCAACTTTAACACAGATAATGAATCTATCAAAGATAATAAAATCAGAGAAAGCAACGTTTCAAAAATTTTATGGATTCCTTCTGTTTGAAAACCTTGATGAAAAAACAATTTTAAAAATAGAGTTGTAAATGAAGTAGAAGACAACAAGCAAATTATCTTGACAAGGAAAAGGAAGGGCAGAGACAAGATTTAACTTTATAATACAACACACACATCAGACCTGGTGGTGTAGCCAGAGATGTCAGAACAAGAGAAACAAAAAACAAATAAAACAATGCACCTTTGATTGACATGAACGTCACCTCTGTATAACTCATTTCTGTGTTTTGGATTACTTATCAAGGACTTCCTTCCAGTCAGTTCAAAAGAAACCAAAACAAAATCAACCCCAAAAAGCAATCTTCATACAAATACGAGTAAGAAACTCTCTTCAATTTCTTCTTTGAGTAGAAAGGAGTTAGAAGAAATAACTTTTCTATATGAGCTATCCCAGTTTTAAAATACGTGCTCTTTATGTGAAACTTGAACTTCTAAAGTCCTAAGAGTCCAAATCTAATCCTGCCAAAATTTAAATCCCTAGATAGAGCTCAGCTCATGTGTAAATATGTAGTAGTGCTGTATCTATTCCCTTTGCAGGATTGGGATGTTTAGGGAGCCAGCAGTTATGTTTGCAGTCACAAAGGAGGGTGGCATTAATTGTTAGTCAGAAGATGCTAAAAAAGTGGCCAATATTTCTGCTGTCACTTGCCACAGATGATTCCTTTACAGTCAAGAGATGTGGTAGTCAGCTAAGAACACCTAATTGCCACTGCCCACTCCTCAACTTGCATGACTGGGCCTTTATACAAACTATTTAAAAGTCAAGTACATGTTTCGCTGGTAGCCACCCAGGTGACTACAATCACAGCTCCTCTCCTCATACAGAGAGGGTGGAACACCACAGATATTCAGGCAAAATCAGCTCCTCTGCCCTATTACTTATTCCCTTATAAACTGTTCAGCATTGTCTTAGGTACACAGATGTGCCACATCCATACATTTGTGGGTATTTGTATGACGTCTGAAGAATAGAAAGAAAAATTAAATCATATCTTTCTCTAAAAGCCCATAACTCCACACCAGCTCCCTGTTTGAGGAATGCAAAATTTCAGTGGCTGCCAGCTCAACAGAAGGTCTCTCAACTTAGCCAGATGTGACAATCAGTTTTTTCTGATTTACACTGTTTGTGTGTATGTGTGTGCGTATGCGTGTGTGTAGAAAACCACACACCAAAATTGAAACAGGCCAAATATGCCTCACTCTGTATTTAATTGGTCAGCATTTTGTTTTATTTGTCTCATTCTCTATTTATTTTCATACATATATACACACATGTATGTATGTATGTGCAAATGTAAATCACTAGGATTGAGGGAGACAAAGGTGACTCAGGAGCTGAGATAAAAAGCTCGGATTCAACCTCAGTTTCTTCAATAGGCAACCCTTGGGAAGTCAATAAAACTCAGATGCTTCCTAATTTCCCATTAATTTTATTTCATCTGAGACACTGTATTTCATGAGATATTCACTTTACCTTCAGGTACCTGCCTAAATTGGGAGACTCTGCTCCCCCTGCAGTCAGACACAGAGAGAGGCCACGGAGCAGACTGATCCAAAAAGCTCCACACATTCAAAAGGAAGCTTCCATCCTACTGGAAGACTTTAGTTCTCCATTGAGTTTAAAAGGACAGTAGGAAAGCTCACTTTAACTAAGGCAGCTCACTCTTTGTCTGCAGTGTGCATGTGTGTCAGCCTCTGGTGCACTTCAGTTCCAGCCCACAGCCAGGAACGATGGCACCACTGTCTCAGAGCAGTCTCAGGGCAGTAAGCACAGGAAGGGCTGGGACAGTCAACATCCTACAGCAGTGTGGCTGTGCAGGAGACAGTCGTCTAAACTGACCCCTGAGAGATTTGGGATGCAGAGCTGTGAAGCTTATGCAACAGATTTAAATCGCTTTGGGTGCTCCTGTGGGAAGAACCAGTCCATCCAACAGTTTTACCTCATGTTCCTGGGAGGCCCCAGATGCTCGATACACCAATACCTCTGTAACTTTAATTTCACCTTGAAGGGTTTCAGGCGTTAAATGCATTATATTTGCCCTTCTACACTACATCCATACAAACACATACAGCATTAACTATTTCAAGGTCCCCACAGAGAGCTGTTAGCAGAGACAGAACATGGGCTGGCACATGACTGAAGCCACATGCACCATCTGCTCAAACATTTTAATGTAATTTACCAGGAAAGAGCTGAGATGGAAAAAAAAAAAAAAACAAACTATAGATGAAAGAGATTAGATTTCCCCTTGTTGAAAATACCTCCTGCTGCTTGATATATGAACCTAACTCACCCATAACCAGTATTTCATTTAAGAACATATTCAAAAATTCAAACTAAAAAAAAAAAAGTCCCGTGCCTGCAAGATAACATTGACATAATTCTTCTGTTAACCTGCTGCCCATTGAGAATTGTCCAGACTGATAACCCAAAAACCAAAAAGAAGTGGACTAGTTAAGAACTTTAAAGTTGTTACTCCCACTCAAACAGCAATTTCGAACTTCAATAAATGAGTAAAGAAAGAGAAAGATTTATTTATTGCAGCATTGAAGCCAAACAAGTTCTACATCTTAAGACTTGTATTCGGCTGAAGGTGGCAGCCCTGGGACTAGTACTATTTGAATTTTGGGAGTAAGTCCTGCAACTAATCTGTAAAACAGATTCCAAATGGCAAAGACTTACACTTCAAGAATCATGTTTCGTGGCAAACAACCTTCCACCTTTTAAAACAAAAGGAATGATTTGAAGAATTTATGACAAACTCCTTTTGTCGTGTTCAACAGTATTTATGAAGATGCTTAGACAGGGTTAGCAATTTTTCCTCTATTAGAAATACTCACAAAATTAACAAGAAACTAGGACAACTACCTTTGCTATAAATTCAGCTGACATTTCCTCTTCCAAACCCCTACACCAAACACCTATTCTTTTTAAGCTGACAATAAAAAATAAAGTTTTTAAAAACCCATAAATAAATAAAATCAGTTTCATAAGACTGTAAATATCACTGTTAATTTCTGATGTGAAAGGTAGAAAAATCTGCATACAGCAGGGAAGTTCTACCAATTCCTCTTACTGGTACCCTAAATACAGCAGCCTTTATGATTCATAACTTTAGGAAATGAGACCCCAACCTGAGCTGCCCCCCAGAGCTGAATGTCTGGCTGTGTGCCAGGATGTTCAACCATCCACAATCAATCAAAAGCCATCATCTGCAGCAGTCATCATTCCAAAACCTCCCCTTCTTTTTCAACTCAAGGCTCATTAAAGGTCAACGCAGCAAAATGAATATTAAGAATTATAGGAAAAGGAAGAAAAGCAGCCTGGAGAAGATGCAGGCAGGAGTGACCATGACTCAACATATGGACAGGCTCCCACATAGGGAGGGACTGTCTGGTCAGAACTCTTTGGCCTGGAAAGAAGTCAATGACAAGACCTACAGCTGAGATCTAAACAAATACTGAGTGGCTTAAACATGGAAAAAGAGAGACTCACTAACTCTTCTCACATGGCTGAAGAGCTCTAAATGTATATCTAAGTTGCTGGCCAGAACAAGAAAGAAGTGATTCCTCATGCAAGTTAGGCAATTTAAGACATTGCAGAGAGTAAAGGTTTACTGGGACTCAAACATTTCAACAAATGCATGGAAGAAAATTCCACAATGACTACTGAAAGCAAACGTACCATTTGCAGCTCAGGAAACAGCTGAAGAAGCTGCAGGAGTGTATCAGGGAAGGATCAGTATAACCATGCCTGTTCTACTCACCTGTAGGCACTGGCTTGGGAAGTCATCATGAGACAGCAATGCCTTGGACTTGAGGTTGGATCTGGTGTGCCACCCTTACATTATTTTATTGTATACCTCAGGAGTTAAAAACATCATGAGAAGTCTTATAAAAAAATTACAGAATTGTCTTCTTTTTGTTGTTTGTTTGTGGGTTTGGGTTTGTTTGGGGGTGGGGGGAGAATGTTTGGGTTTGGTTTTATTTTTAAATATTTGGCTTATAGTCTCATGGTTTTGAGGTAAACTTTAGTTCAATTTACTTGCTTCCATCCTCGGCTAACATATTCTGCAACACTGAGCACTGAGAACATTGCCATTGATTTCCATCAGCAAAGGATCACACCCTAACTGCTTCCAATTTCACAGTTACTAAGCAACACTAAGTGATCACAGCATCTGAGCAAGCAACGTCCTGTATTCAAAGGTTTGAATTGTAGAACTCCATAACGACTTGGAACTTGGGCACCTACCAATGAACACCAGCTTCACAAATCTTAGATAACAAACTCCTGAAGTACAGAAATATATACCTTGGGTGCTGTTAATTGAAATTAGCTCCACTGAACCACAAAATTTCCTTGTATACTCATCATGGACCTAAAATGAAGAGTACTTTCTAATTTACTGCAAAGTTTCTGTATTTTTCCCAGGATTAACCAGAACAAAACCCCTTTTCTTTAAATTGAAATTCATACACAGCACTCCTATTAAAGTTACATATTCAGGTATAAAGGTGAAAAAGAAAGCACACAAAACCAGGAAGTTAAACACCATCAGCCATAGGGGAACATGTAACATCACCCCTTACAAAGCAGTGCATCTTTGGAGTACTACATTTTTTCTTTAATGATTTCATAAAAACATTGTAATAGGATTTATGTTTTTCTTTTAAAATAGTATCACTCTTAGAAAATAGCAAATAACACCATATTCTTCTTTTTGGTTGTTGTTGTAGGAGACTTTCCTGAATGCAAACAACTCTTAAAAATAATCAATAGCTAAATTTGCTTTAATGAAGATGGTACTTGCAGCCTTTACTAAATTATACTTGTTCATCTACACACCAAGACAAGAGAAGCCTCGCCTGCTGCTAATTTGGAAAATCTGAATGGTCCAGAAGACTGGATCCATTACTTAGTGAATGACTAAGAATGAGGCTGGCTGTTCTCCCTTGGAAAATTCTGATCTGGTCTAACATTTAAAAAATGTGAAATTTCAAGGGTGAGAAAGTGCTATGGAAGCCCACGCATGAGAGCTTAAAAAAACCCCGGTGCTGTAGAAACCTCTGGTGTTCCATGTATATCCATTCACACACACACAAATGTATACAGTAATTGTTTTGAGACACAGTTTGGGTCTTTTTGCACCCATTAGAGGATCCTAATCATAAGAGTTGAGCAACATAAAAGCTTTTGAAGCAGAAAGCCAAGACATTGGTGTGTTACATCTAATGGAAACAATATTACACAGCAGTCTCTCACTTCCGAGACTGATTAGAAACTGTATTGTATTTACCACACTATGAAGATAATAACCTGAGAGAACATTAACATAAATCATTAATTCATTGTGGGGAAACTCTGGAAGAAGATATCTTTCTAAAAGGAAAATGATCACATTGAAATGCAAGTGAACTTTGAGGAAAACAAGCTGTGCCAAGTAAACGGTGCCAAAATTAAGTAATTCGTAGTTATCATACTTGGTCTTCAATAGGCAGAATTTAGAGCATATGAAAATACAACAACAGCTTAGCAAACCAATGGGAAAAAAAAATCAACAGTGTTACATTTACATTGGCTATGTGAGAGCCCACTTGCTGGAATTAAACATATAGTTCATATTCCAAAAGGATCACATACCTAATAAATAGTACTGGAAGACACTGGTAGCAACACAGGACTGAGCACATGGAGACTATCCTGTGCATACTAAGAATCGCCTATCCTCAGTAAACAAAAAAGCAAGCAAGCAAAATTCTCCATATAAAATATTATTAGAAAAAAATCCACCAATTTCTCCTCTCTTTCTTTAATACCTATGTTTCAGTTTTAGAAAGCAAAATGATCAGGTGACACTGCTCTGTAATAATTTCAATTAAAATAAATGATGTTGCTTTTAATGCAATTTACAACCTCATAAGTAATCAACGTGAGGAGAAAAGCAACAAAACAAAAGAAAAAAGCTACCCACCATTTACCCAGCAACCAAATAGCAATTTGAAAGATATTACATTCCTCTTTCTATACTTTAGATATAGAGGAGCATTTTGATATTCCAAATATTACGGGATGTTATTTGCTATTGATATTTTTAAATCATTACTGAGAATGCACTTGATATCTCTTGGGAAAGAAAAAAACGCTGCATGCCCTAACTTGCAGGCTTTCTTTTAAAGCTGACATCTGTCTGTCTCCTTACTGCACAAAATAAAAGGCAAACCTTCTGTTTGCAGGCTTCAGGTCACTTGCTCAGTGCTACCCTCAAATCACAGCATGCAAGGGCTGCATTCCACCTGAGGAGCATTTGTGGCTGCTGCCCCGCAGAGATGTCTGTGCTCACCTGGGTAGAAGGGGGCATTCCAGGCTGTGAAGCTGGAAGTGTTTGCTAACAGAGATGTCAATGAAGCAAAGGAGTTTCAGTACCTGAGTTAACAAGCTGCTGCTCCATGACCCCGCAGCCCAGGACCTCCATCCATTCTCCTTGGAAGTTGATCTCCATCTCAAACGAAGGGTGAGTAAATGGGAAGTAGCAATCTACCCATCTGACTTGCAGTCCTGTGGCAGTGTTTAAAAAATAAATAAATATGAAAGGGTGTATGCTTAAAAGGCCATCCCTCCAACCATCTGTAAAACTTGCCCTTCAACTAATGACATGAATTACAGCAATCCGGAGAAAATAAATAGCAAACAAACTAATTTACAACACTTGTGCGAGGTGATAAATCTTAAAACCTGTAGAAAAAAATGACCATGTCTTTTCTAATATGAATAATGCTTTGTGCAATTCAAGCACCCTTTGAAACCAAATCAATCATTTGTCAAACTCCAGCAACCACCTGGCATCGAACAAAAATGAGCCAAGATAATGGGAAAGTCAGTAATTTTGTTATTCTTTGCACCAGGAAATGACTAACTGCTTCTCACAGGAAAACTAGCTAAGTCTTTAATTTTTACTTAGTATTTTATGGATCATTTAGGCAAGTAATTTTTTTTCATCAAAACTTAATTAAAATACATAGCTATTCTCTCCGTATATGTTTAGAAATGGAAGTTTAAAATAGATATTACTATACACAAATAGAAATATATCTTCACAGAGTTATACATTATTAAGGTATGCAACACACACGCAGAGTATTCTGGACCTGGTAGGTAAGTGTAAGGGAAAAGCCCCACTGGGTAATTCCCACCATCCTCCCCAGCTCAGCACCTCTGCAGATACCCTGTGCAGAGCAAGCAAAGTCCTGGCATCTCAGAGCAGTGCAGCCAGAAGAGGGCAAGGTCTTCAGTGATGCCAAAAGCAGAGTTGTTGTCAAAGCCCTCATTATATCGGATGAGTTTTAGTTCTTCTAATGATTTGCAGACACTTTGTTTCACTAAACAATTTTTTTCTAACCATTAGGTGTCAGGAAAGAAGTCTCAGAAACATGAATCATAAAAACTCGAAAGAGAACTGAAATGCAAATTCTGTAAACTAAGATAATGCCTTAATCCCAAATACATCTTCTCTTCAGTTAAGCCAAATACTAATCAGAGTTAGTTAAGAAGCAGGCAGGTCCAGCTTCAAAAATAAGGAGCACTGCAAAGGTAGTGTGGGTGACAGCAACTGTTAACATTCCTGGTTTGATCTTCAGGTTTTTTGGGGGCTGTTTCATAAAAGGAATGTAAAACATGAAATTACATGATTCATACTAAAAGTTTTTCAAATAAAAGTATTTTATGCAGCCTCAAAAATTAGACCTTCATTGATTACATCTGAAACATGAAGTGTGGCCACAGAAACTGAAACAATAAATTACGACAAAGGCGTACCTGCATGGCCAAAACATAAAATACCTCCTAATAGTCACAGGGAACTTTTCTAGATATGAAATTTCAAATGGCAAGGCAAGTTTCAAAACAAACAGAGTGGTACTTCCAGATTTTCTCTGCTTTCTTAAAAAACAGCTTCAGGAAAGTATATGAGTAATGAAAAAGCTTTTTGGTAATTGTACATACAGAATTCAGAAAATTGGAAGTATTTGCAATAGTTTCATTCACAACTGTACTGTGACTTACAGCAATCACCTTATTGCTCTTTTTTGTCTGCATGACAATAAAAAAATACATAGATGAAAAGAGTCATGTATACAGTAGTATAGCGTGCAGAAAACATTTTTTTAATTTCCTGATCTTGGCATTTTTAATCCTTGCGCTGTGCACATATAAAATATTCTCATTTAGCTTGCAAAATTTGCAACTGTAGCAACTACACTGAATATTCAACTAGTTTGTGTTCAGTAACAACATTCAGACAATGTTTTTTTATTAATCCTCTGATTACTTAAAAAATGAAGCTCTGGGAAAAAAATGATTCCTCAGCTGTCTGTTCTTAATTAAAATAAAATTTAAAGAGTAAAAAAAGAATTTAGAGCTCTTTTTATTTTTTAATTTTAATGCATATTAGTACTTAAGAGGCTTCTGTTTTAAATGCAAATAAGCAAACAAACAACATTCTGAATAAACCAAAATAAATTCACAATGAAGAAACAATTCTCACCTTCATTCTGTTCTCAAAATTAATAGTTAATCCCACATACCACAATAATTTTATTCATACAGTATCCAGGCCATTTGGGAATACCTCTGTAGTTTATATTCAAGTGTTCTTCTAGACTTTTGGCTCTAGAAGACTTTACTGAAAAACAGAGGGTGCTCAGCCTTTGGCAACATTAACTGCATTTTTATAGTGTCACAGAATAAATGGATACATTTATTATTTAGATACAAAATATTGTCTTGGTGCTCAATATATTCCCAAGGAGTAAAGGGCATTGCTTACACTCAGCAAATTAAACCACTAAGAACTTAAAAGGATTATGATTAGACTTCCTGTAGTACTGTATAATTTTCCTGATTCAGCCTAGTTTATTTCTTCACATACAGCCTATGAAATACTGGCAAAATTGATCTTTTCCAGAAATTTTAGGAGGCCAAGAGACACTGTCTTAAAACAGGCACTTACAAGAGCACAGTACTGAATCTAATCAAGGCCGGACCACTAGACACAAACTCCGTAACTCTTCTGATTCAAAGAAATTATTTGTGTTATCAGGAACAAACACACTTGCTCATGTCAGAGCCTCACAGTGTTCATAGGAGAGGTCCATTCAGAATTCTGTTGGGCTGATTTTGGCTGAACACCACGTTCCCAGCAAAGCTGTTCTACCACTCCCCTCCTCAACCAGGGATAGAAAATACAATGAAAGGCTCATGGGTCAAGATAAGGGCAGGAAGAGATCACTCACCAATTACAGTCATAGGCAAAACAGATTTGACTTGGGGAAAGTCATTCAATTTATTACCAATCAAATCAGAGTAGGATAATGGGAAATAAAAACTAAATCTTGAAAACAACTTGCCCCATTCCTGCCTTTTTCCAGGCTCAATTCTATTCCCAAAATCTCTACCTCCTCTTCACCAACAGTGGGGATGAGGAATGGGGGCTGTGGTCAGTTCATCCCTCATTTTCTCTGCCACTCTTCCCCTGCTCCAGGATGGAGTCATGCTCAATAAAGACAGTCCTACATTAACTGCACCAGCATGAGTCCCCTCCACAGCGTGCAGTCCTCCAGGAACCTCCTGCTCCAGTGTGAGTCTCTCCAAAGGGGGCTACAGGTCCTGCCAGAAGTCTGCTCCAGTGCAGGCTTCCAACAGGGTCCCAGCCTTCTTTGGGAATCCACCTGCTCCAACATGGTGGAGCTCCATGTTCCATGGGCAGGTGGATCTCTGTATCCCCGTGGACATCCAAGGGCTGGAGGTGCACAGCTGCCTCACCCCTTGTAGCCTGGGCTGCAGGGGAACCTCAGCTCAGCACCTGGAGCACCTCCTCTCCCTCCTTCTCCACTGACCTTGTGTCTCAACAAAAGTATTTGAAGGGCTGTTTCTCACATTATCTTCTCCTTCCTCTCCCTGGCTGCACATTGTGTAGGATTTTTTTCTCCCTTTTAAAGTGTGTTACCCCAGAGGTGCTACTACCATCACTGCTGGGCTCAGCTTTGGCCAGCAGTGGGTCCATCTTGGAGCTGGCTGGCACTGGCTCTGCCAGACATGGAGCAAACATCTGGCAGCTTCTCACAGAAGCCACCCCTGCAGTCTCCCTGCTACCAAAACCTTGCCATGCAAACCCAATACAATAACTTGTATTTCAGGTCAGTATAGAAACAGTGAATAATTATTGTTATTTCTGAACACTGAATCCAGGTAAGGAATTGGTCGTAGCCTGCACTCAAAAGTAATGGTGTTATCAGATATTAAGCTAAACAAGTGCTAGCCTAATTGAGTCTCATAATGAAAAAGGCTTGACCAAAGGCACTGAAAATGAAAGAAAAGAAAAAAAGAACAAATCAAACACATTAAAGCAGCCTATTGCTATACTACAGAACAGAAGCAACAAAGCCGGAGACCCAGATGGTCTTCACTGACCAGAAATTCTCTTTGTTGCTGTGAGGATTATTTTTAGAGATGAGGTTATGGAAGAAAAAGGAGAGGGGTGCAGGGAGGGTGCTGGGAAGCACAGAAGGTATTGAACTGTGGCCTCTTGAGGTGGGTGTCGATTTGTAAGTACTCTGCACCTCGTTGTTTCAGATAATTCATGATACTTGCAGGAGACAGGAGCTGGCTGCCCATATAAACCTGCATTAGCTCACATTTTTCAGAAGTTATTAGCCAGACTATTATGCCCTGGATAAATGATTTTTTTTTTTAACTCGTTACACTCATAGATCTCCACGCATTAAAAGGAGGTATGTGTACAACAGAAATAAGGAGAATAAGCAGAATATGTTTGATTTAAAAGATATCCAGTGGTCAGAACTAGCTGTGGCAAAGCTACTGCATTACTCACTCTCCTGCCTTCCCTTACCAGTGCCTAGGAACTGGGTAGATAAATATGGGACAACAGTGAATTTTCAGCCATTTCATGTAAAGCAACAAATCATAGAACCAGCACACAGTCATTATTTTCTATTTGCTACAGTAAGACTACTTCTGAATCACTCGAGGTGTAGAAAGCTTTTGGTACACTACAGAGGGGTTAGAGGAAGAACCATAGTTGAGAAAGACTAGCTAACTTTATGAGGAAATCTTGGACAGCCTTGTTACTAGGTAACTAAAATGAGAACTAACAGACTAACTACACTGGCAGAACTGTATGGGGCGATGGAGGTGTAACTTAAATTAGTTTTAAGTGTGGACCTTATGGAGGTAACAGAGGAAAACTAAGAATGGTGTCAAGGTATAGTATTTGAAATAGCTTCCTGACAGAAAAATTGAAGAAACTGAGAGTTACTTGTGGAATGCAAAATCAGGCATGTCATACCACCAGAAAACGCCATAAAAAGAACTTTACATTGTCAAGTTTTTAAGACAACTAATGCTCCAAAAATTTCTCATTCCTCTAATATCTGTAACTCTTTTGCCTGTTGGCAAATCCAGAAAGATATAAAAAGACAAACTTTTGTAATAAGGGTAAGTGCAGATTCTATGAAGTCTTCAACCTTCCTCAGGACAACACAGCAATTTTGTTTTGGATAGTGTAGTAGGAATCAGGTAGAACCCAATTGTCTCATTAAATATTATGAAAATTAACCTAGAACAATGAAAAAAAAAAAGGCAAGTCAGTGATATGACCTTTCTGCAGAGATCCTCAATCTAACATCAACCCAAGCTACTGAATTTCCAGAGAAGCACTGCAGAAGCACAGCTTCCAAGTCCAGGACTTCAGGTACAAGCTAGTTTATGCAAAACTAATAGGTACAGCAGACTTAATCTCCAATCCAAACAATCTGCCTATAAAAAACAGCTGACTGTATGACAATGCAACATTCCAGTCACTTACTGCAGCTACAGTCACGTTGTCCTGCTAGAAAAGATGTGCAACTTCACTGCATATTCTGCTGATAGCACAGGTTATAAAGAACACAACTCATGTCAAGTGTAAAGGAATGAAATCTGTGCTTTTAACAGAACACAGGGCCTTATGAAATACTCACATATAGTAAAAACATAGAAATTTTCCAAGAGCAACACATTTAAACATATTTTAAATTTTAAGTTAAAATTTATAGGAGTCAAGACACAAAAAGTAATCAAGAGCAATGTGTAGAGTAAAGAGTAAAATGCTAGTTAAAAGATGACAGCTATCAAAAGACAAATTTATTTATGTGTGCCCCAAGACAGTTGCAGTGCACCAATCTCACATACCTGGTGCCTAACATCAACTCTGAATTCCAGTATTTCCATGAATGGGGCAGGGGGGGAAATACACATATATATATACACATACATATCTATAATTACATTTAATTCAGTAACTATTATCTTGTGTTTGTATTCCATGAAAAATATTGGGGGTATAGAAATAGAAAATCTCAACAGTAAGCAGGTGGCATCTACTTTTAGTTTGTACATTTAAAGTAATTTATGAATATATTTTAATGTCTTTTTAGCTACTGTGTGGACTGTATAAGAACGAGTAATAGCCAAAATGCTGAGGCTTAAAGTGCAGCATCTGTCAACAGTTAGAGAAGGATGTCACTGCAGTCTGAGATACCACTAATAACTCCGAGAAATTGCTCACTTTAAACATCTTCAGCATCTGAGGTTGATCTAAATGTATCATTCTTACGGTTACACACTTTCATCCCAACTTTTTATGTTTCAAAAGGTCACTGTTAAGTAAAATACACCTACAAGAAGCTCTGAGTTGAGGAACTTAAAAATTTTTGTCCAGGTGGAATAAAACAACAACTGGTAAAAGTTTTGCATACTATAAGTCAACTTCAGAAATTCAGAAAAATATTCAAGCAGTCACACATAGAACTTGGTATCATTATCAATCCACTCTTGGAACTACTGTTCTGAGTGCAGTAAATATTGTAAAAGACCTTAGAAAGTAGGCAAGATACCTCATGCATTCTAATACCATCCAGTATTTCCTCAACAGAAAAATGAATCAGCTCAGAAGAGCAGCCTCCTTGCCAGGAAATAGCATTAATGTAGCAATTTTGACTCAGGCCATTTATAAATTCAGTTCCTGAAACTGAAAGCAGGTATTTCTGAGGAGAGAATACTTCATTCATATACACATTCATTACCCTCCCTCATTCCACTGTAAGTACCAAAAAACAATTACTGTTCAGCTTGATGTGAACTTAGTAAACACGTTCTGCACACAGCACAGCAGCACATGGACACGAGCACCCCTTCCCTGCCAGGAGCAACCTGGGGGAAAAGGTGCAGGAACCTACCATCACCAAAGATGTGAGTCATGAGCTTCGTGAGCACTTGCTTCAGGTTGAACTCCACCAGCCTCACTGCCTCCATGGTGTGACACTCCTGCTTGTGTGCAGTGCGATGGCCCTGCTCAAACAGCTGTAAACCTTCACCATCTTTAATGCTGGAGAACAACTGGAATAAAACCACAAAAACACCGTGTTTTGCATCAGTGACCTCCTGAACGAAAATAAAGAATGAAGTTTCACCGATTTAAGTGGGAATCTTACCTGCCAAGTCTGCACTGTGAAAAACAAACATAAAGACTGTGACTTTATACAAATTATGTTCACAAAATGCAGAGATGAATCACCTTAAGAACAAAGATACTCAAATAATTAAATCTGGTTCATTTCTTTATTATATCGTCAAATAATATGATTAGCTCTGGGAAAATAATAATTGACAAAATAAACATCTCTCTTTCTGATTCAGTTGCTTTGAAAGTTATCTGAAAGTACTCTGTACAGTGTATGTAAATTACACCCCAAAAACTACAAAACACAATGAACACAATGGCATTTTTCAGAACTTAAACTCTTTTAGTACTTGAATGATGTAAAAGAAATACTAAAACAATAATAAAGAAACAAAAACAAAAAACAAAACCACAAAGCCAAACAAAACAAACCTAAAAACCAAACAAAAAACCACAAAGCAACCAGCCAACCAAACCAACCTCAAAAAAAAAAAACCATAAAAAACCAACCAACCAACCAACCAACCAACCAACAAACAAAAAAACCCCAAAAATTAAAAAAAATTAAAAAAAAACCAAAAACAACCAAAAAAACCCCCAAACCTGTCAGTTTAATGAGACTTAAGCTGCTTACAGTTGATTCATCCTGGGTGCAGTTCATATTCATTTAAGAACTACAATTTTCCTGTATATTCCCACACACAGCATCATTTTTGTGAACAGGAATTCTGTCTATGGGGCACTTAAGGATTCATGATCTCAGGTGGGCGTTTCCAGATAAGTTGCAAAGGACAGGGACAGCTGTTTTGGGATGTGGCAGACTTGCTCTTCATTCAGACACTGCTCCCCACCACATCTGCTGCAAGTTGAAGATTTCTGTTTTCTGCAAATCCCCATATGTTTCTGGCCAGGTGATCCTGGCCAGATACATACCAGCAAATCTATATCCTCTCAGAGAGACCAATAAAACACATTCATTAAACAACATTGTTGGAGGCTTTGTGTCTTAGGAAAACAAGCAGGTGGTTTTACACTCCAAAGAGTATTTTTGTTGGAAATCCTTACAGCTGTACAAAACCCCCGGATCTGGGGTGAAGTCTGGAGGGTAGGGAGAGCCAGTTGTGAAAGTGCTTCTAGTGCCCTTTCCTATCCCTCCTCCTCTACCTTCCCCTAGTCAATCAAGCACACACAGAGGGAAAAAACATGAGCTGAGATTTTCTTCCCATTAAGCCTCCCAGCATAAATAGGTTTTACTCAGGAGATGCCACGAATAGCATGTAACCTTAACAACTCATGGATGCCCACAGAAGTTGTTTTAATTGCAGTTTAATGCCTTCGGAGCATTAAATGCTCTAAACAAAAAGTTCAAGTGAATCTCTCTGGTAGTCCACAAATGCTAGATACAATTAATTAGGACTAGTTTCTTGCACATTTCCTACAGACACAATGAATGAAGAACCTGAGTTTAGATAGCAAGCAAACTAGCACCACAGTGGATTGAAGGAATTAAAAAAATCCAGTAGCATTTAAATTTTTATTGCTAGCCACAAGGAGATTGCTAGCAGATTGAGAAAACACTTTGCTGGTTAATGTCTTTAGTGTGCTGCAGAAAATACTAAATTAAAAAGGGAAAGTATAAATACCAAATAAAATTATTCTCCATAAGTCTCAGAAAAATGCCTTTACTACCCAAAAGGCAGCAGCTTGACAAACAAAGTATCACACTTTTAAATAATAGATTCTTTATTCAAGTGCTCATCTGAAAGATTAAACCCCCTTCTTCTTACAGACATTCTTCCTACCTTGACTGGAAAAAGCAGATAATACCCACCCTACAATTAATTTGCTGTCAGCAAGGCAGACCAGTCATCCAGCATGTGGTTTTGAAAGTCGGGGGAATTCAGAGAGGCCAGCATTAGCCTAGGGAGGATAATTGTCTTAGGATCACCAGGTGGCCAGTGGAGAGACACAGGCTCCCTTAGAGAGGAACACAGAGTGGCTAAATTAGGTTCCTACCCTACACAGGTAGCTGTTTTTTCTACTGACTGACTGACTCACCCACTCACTAAGCCAGAAACACTTCAGGCAACAGAGATATTCCTTCTTTGGACCAGAATACACTGTATTAACACATTAGAAGGTTATTTCACATTTCACATTTGTTATTTTACCTATCAGCGGTATTTTAGGACGTGAAACTCTTTTCCTCCATTTCCCCTTCACTCCTCCCTTCAACTTAAGACTGGCTCCTCAGACCACTGCAAAGAACAGATAGTCTGGACACCAGCCTTTAAACACAGCATACATATCAACAAGTACATAGAAATACTTTTGCTTACTGTTGTGTTATTTCTGAAATGTTGATATCACAATTGTCTTAAGCAAAATTCTATTTCAGTCGTTTATATCAGATGTGGAAACAAAATACATGCAAGAACCATTAAAACCTTTGAATCATAATCCAGCCCTATCACCTGCCTGAGCCCTAATCCTGCCAAGCCAGTCCACACCATCTCCTTCTCCAAACCAAGACAATAGTCCATGCAGCAGTGTACTGAGCCAGGCTGGGAGGTGAGTCCAGATGGGTGGTAACCCAGGAGAAGGTAAGAAACCAAGGGATGTGAAAATGGTCAAGTTCAGCTTAGTAATCAAATATCAGCATACTGGCAGCACCAAGAGATGAGTTGGCACATGGAACAGGACTGGGTCAGTTTGGGCACAGGCGTGACTCTAGTCCAGTTCAGACAGGCTCTGAAAACACAGCCATAGGGAAGTCCCTGAAACAGGCAAGACAACAGCCCCTCTTACAGTCAGGCACGAAGAGGCATTTTGGTATTCTCCACAGAGGCTCCATCAGCTGCAGATGGGATTATACCGAGAAAAAAAGAGATACCTTACAGTTGTATTAATATTTATTCCTGACTTTCCATTCACTGACATTGCTATGTCAATACGAGCAGCTTTAAACCGATACACCAATTTCACTATTACAACAATTGAACTGTGCTAAGTACATGTCTTGGATTAGAAACACTTCAACATTTCTGTATACATAAAGACAGGAAAGTCAAAGCTTGAATAAAATGAAGAATCACCTACAGTCGCTCCTTTTTGATGTCAATTTTTCTCAAACACATATCTGAGCAAATGGAGAAAAAAAATACCTTACGTCTTGCATAAAACATTGACACATCCAAGATGACATTTTCACATACATTCATTCCTTCGGTGCAGACTAAACCAGCATGCACTATCTTATTGTATTGAATATGATCAGTCACTACTACAAGCAGGAAAGAAATTTCCTGTAGCCATAAATCGAGTACCTACATGTCTGTCTGCGTAAGGACAAGAGATTTTTCTTTGAGTGAAGGTGTGCAAAACACTGAACATTGTATCACCATGAAGAAGTAAAAAAAAAAATCAACACTTACCAGGATTTATCAGCATATCTGATTGATGCTGCATTACAAAAGAGAAGGCAGAAAGGAACTGAAGTGACCTAACCATGTGGCATGAAGTTTAGCTCATAATAAAAATAAATTAAAATTTGATAACATGTAATGGCAAGAAGACATAGTTTTAACTGGACAAGTACAAATGGTGCTATGGTCCTTCAAACGAAGACCCTAACATTTCCTCAGTCACTTGACAGGCTTTTTATTTTTACATCCCTTCATTATCCACATGTTTAGTATTCAAAATTAAGTGCCCCTTTGCAGGATGGCATTCACAGGAGGTTTTAGAGATCTGAAACTATACCCTGTCTTTCCACAATGCAGTTGTGTATTCCTCCTGCCACTCATGCATACACCAGTGATTAAGATAATGAATAAATCATGATCATGTACTTACACTCACAGGTAAACCAGCATTTAAGATTATCTCTATATGAGGATCTGCACATAACTTCATCCAACCTTGCCACACCAAATACATTTTTTCTCACTGGCCCTAATAAATATCTCTAAAAATGAACCAACACCTGCACTCTGAATCCATTTAAAAATAGCAAACCCTTCCCATAACATTTTAAATGTCCTGTGGAACTCAAGACACAACCAAAGGATGAGGAATGATGAATATGATGCCACCAATAGATGGCTCAAAGAGAAAACTTAATTTCAGTCTCAGTCAGGCTCTAGGGTGTAATCACATGCAGCCAGCTTCAGGTACCAAAGGGACACACAGCCCATGATGCACAAGACAGAAGGCTCTTCACTGCATATCAATAAGGATTTTGGGGGGCAGAAAATGGCAAAAAATTACTTCAACCGACATGCTTGAATGTAGTCACCTTAATTTCTACATCCTTCCATTCCAGTTTTCCAGTTACAGCAAAGAAAGGTAACCTCTATTGTTTTTTAGAGGTGGAGGACGGGCTTTTTTTGTTTTTTTTAACCTAATCAAAGTGTTTGTGTAAGAAAGGGGAAAACAATAAAAATGTTTTCAAACCAGAAAGAAAAGTAACACTGCTACATAGATACCTGATACGATGAGACATCTATGATAGACTTCTGTTTCTGTAGCAATTTTTTCTGTAGAAATTCCTTCAGTTTTAAGTACCTTAGACTTCCCAAACACACTTGTGGACACTTTGCTCTTTTTTTTTTCTGCACAATTTAAATATTGCATTGAATAGATTTAACTGGTTTATTCTGAAAAGCTTTATTCATTTGTTTGGCTTTATTTTTTTAACAGGACAACAAAAAGTCAGATGAAATCTGAAAAAATTAAGAAATCTTTGCAGTAAAAGATGCACCATCACTTTTCAAACTTTCTAGACCATGGATCACTATGAAAATCTAACAGACATTCAGATGCCCTTCACTGTCAAATTTTTGACTAAAAATAACGAAGAATACAGTTTGGATCCTCGGATCAGCAAAGCTCTATTTATTACAGCATGATTTATACACCACAACTTGGAAAATACTGAATAATACAATGTTCACAACTTGAATTAGTACCAGGGAAGGTGAAATCAGTTCCACTTAAACTAGCCAGGCTCTTCATTGTGAGCACTCAGTTCAACTGCAACTTCAGGAGTAAATTCACCTCAGAATATTCTAGCAAAGTAATGCTGCTGCTCCTTTATTTTATCAAGGTGGACCTAGTTCAGGTGGCTCTGCTCCTGTACTGCCCTCACCATCCCCTGTGGGAAGGAGGGCTGTCTCTCAGGCTCTTTGGGACTGACGCTGTGCTTACAACCCTATCCATAAATTCTAAAGGGCCAAGAAGGGTACCATTTCTTGGTCATTTAAGCCTTTAAAAATATTTTTTCCTTGGTGCTCAGCTAAACACTGCTATTACAACTCACACTCACAAGCACTCTCAGACATACTGTTAAAGCTTCAAATCACTCCATAAAATACCTGGAACACTATAAATTGATTTAAATTCCTTTATATATGAGGATGTTAAAAAAGGGACTGAAGACAGGAAGGAGATTTTCTTTGATACAATGTCAGAGCAAAAGCACAGCATCCAAAGCTTCAGTAACATACAGAATTTTGGAGAAGCTAAACCTAAAGACACGAGTTTTCCAAGGGGAAACCCAGCATGGCACTTGATTCAAAAAACTGCCTAAACTGCTGGTGAGTGGTCAATCAGGAGTTCAATCATCCCAAACCACAAGGGATAAAAGCAACACCTTTTTCTTTTTAACAATACACCAGGAATATTGTCAAGGTACACAAGTATGGGAAGATGAGGAAAGGAATATATATTTAGATGAAAAAGAGAAAAATCTACTAATCTTCTATTACCTAGAAGAGTCTTTACATTTCAGGATATAAATACTAGAAGCTACAATACCGAGTTTTTTTTAAAAAAAGTTATAAATAGCGCTTTGGAGGAGCAATCCTTTATTTATAACTAGAATATTTACCCTTTTTCCATTGCATCCTAACAAAAAAGTTTCCATTTCCACCATAAGCATTTCAATGTAAATAAAGACGTATCCCTACTACTTCTAGCACAAACAAGCCTGATGAGAGCATCATTTTTCCATCTAAACAATCTTGTATTGGCCTCCACTGGAACAAGGTTACTAAATTAGAGGAGCAATTCCTATGTTTTAACATCTGTTCCCCTTAAAATTTATGTATAATTCAGAACAAACTATAAAACACTGTATGAAGTCTCCTTCAAATGTGTAAACATTTTCTGTTATCAACTGAAAGCTGTTCATTGACTGCCATTGGGTTTATAATGGCTCCCTCTTCTGGCTGACACACACAAAGTGCAATTTGAGGTTTTTTTCTCTTTTCCATAAATTATGGAACTGCACCAAAGGTAACAGCATAACATGGAACTAATTTCTCTTATAATTCACCCAGGAAAACTGGCCAGTTCAAATCTGACTACAGCAGTATCAAAATTGCCAATTCAAAGCACTAACCAAAAGAAAAAAAGCCATATACCACTGAAGGAAAAAAAGATTCAAACACCAACTAGAAGAAAAAGAGGAATATTGGTGGAAGTGAATGCAAAAGGATATCATTTGGGGATACTGTTTAAGAAGAAGAGTTCATTTTATGTTCAGAATTTGGAAGTAGATTTGAGAATCTCTTTTTGGTCCTGGTTTTAACTATTTATATTAGTCAATTTCTAAGTGCTCTACATATTACATTCAGATAAAAATCACCTAAGATACTTTTAAATATATTAAAAACATGTCTAAATGTATTGTCAGATGTTCTTTGATAGCAGTCCAAGGACTTTTTTTAAAGTCTATGAGAAATTTAAGCATGAATTATTCTAACTTTTACCAATTACTTAATTTGAGAATTTCTTTAGTACTTCAGTATTTACACTCATTCAAACCTGCAGAAATGGATCAGTTACCTGCCCATCTTTGAATTATAGATTACTTTTCTCTTTAAAAAGTAATCAACCAAGCATCACAAAAAACATATAGGCAAAAAAGCAAATAGCTCATAAATATCTCAAAATAAATACTGTAAAATTTCCAGACTTGGTTTGATTTTTGAGATCTTGCTTCAACTTACTGATTTTAATTTTGATATAAAGAATTATGCTGAAGGTTTCCATCACAGGGTAGGAGTTTTAACCTAGTCTTAACTACAGAATTTGGTATTTGTAAAGGAGATATACTTTTGTAGATCTCCTACATCTTTTGAATCCTACCTAAAATTTCAGCTAAGGATAAACTGACTTTACCCTCACACCTCCTAAACTGAGATCAAACACCAAATTCCTCTAAGTTCACGTTCTTATAAAATCACTTGAGGCTTTTGCCTTTCTTCTCCCATCTCCTAAGGTCTGTGGCCACTTACACTGAGAAGACAGTGAATGATCAATGTAAAAATCAAAAGAACAAATTAGAGCAGCAAACTGAAAACATAATGTAAAATTACTATATTTGCCATAACATAAAATGTTCCCAGGGCTTGTAGCTAAGAGCTAATAGTTTTCCCCTTGCTTCCAAAGATTCTGATCTTTAGTACTTGTGCAAATTTCTTCTCACCAGAGACTGTAGCCTGATTAGGAATGAAAAGTCTGAGACAAGAGTAACAGGCCCTGACAGTCACACGTTTCTGCTCAGTGGGTTACAGCTTAAACTTGAGTATAAATAAATTAATATCAGAGTATTTCTCTCATGTAGTATTACCTCTATTTAGTCTTTGTTCCGCTCAGACAGTTCTTTCTGGAATTATTTAAATGTGGATTATTCTGAACAGACAACCAGAATACAAAACACAGAAACAGTCCCCAGTGAAATTTCAGAATTACACATTCATTTTTTTTCCACAAGGCTCTTGTGATTATGACTGTAAAAAGCGGTATATATTGAAACACAAACTGAAGCAAAAAAGAATGCATGAGATCATGCTCAGGTTTATAATTATTGTATGTTGCCCAAGAAACAAGACTTTACACATCATACACCACACCACTTCATCAGTATAGAAAGCTCTCCAATAGCATCTCCATCATCCTCTTGGGGAAAAAGAAAGAGAAAAGAAATAATCTCCAGTGCAATGAATTAAACACTGTATATTTCTAGATAGAACATGTCAGTAAAAGCATTTCCACAACTGCTTCCAGTTATTCAAATCCTATTATTCCTATTACCAAATTTGTAGAGTAAATAGTCTATCATTAGGACCAAGATTTCTTAAGAGGTATATTCATTAACAAGTAGTTCAATCATTAGATCAATCACACCCAAGGTTGCAGAAATTTCATCCTGCAAGAATGCTGATGTTCTAATTTTGTGGCAAGTAAAATACTTCCATCTGAATGACTGAACTTCTGCTCAAGTAAAAAAAAAAAAAAAGTTGTGATCAACAAAAATGGTTAAGAAATGTTATTTTCTTAATATAGTATTGTATGCCATATACCCTGATTGTATTCATAAACAGGCCTACGGGAAAAGAACAGCAAACAAATGAGGCTGGGTAAGTCTGCAATATTTCCATTTTGTGGTTACCAAAGAAGCAGCTGCAGGCTGGATTCAGCACTGCACAGCTCTCAGGACACCTGCAGAGGCAGGTATGTGTTCACAGTGGAACAAGCAGTGGCCACACAGGGTGGGAAAGTGCAGTGCAGGCAGCAAGAGCCCCTTCCATCACAGAGAAAAGCAGTGCTCTATGATTACCTTAGCTTTCCCTCAGGCATCCAAAGGCATCAGGCTTCTCTGCCAAGCTCCTGTCACCCACTGGCAAGCACATTAAGAACAGTCTACATCTCAGTATTATTAGAATAAGCTAGTTTTACTTATAGAACTGTGAATTTGGCAATATTGCTACAAGCATACACAAATTATACAAATCAATTACTATTTGGAAAACAAACTGGCTTATATTTACCACTGATCAATGACGCAGCAGAGTACTTAATGACATCCAGGCATTTGCAGAACATGCAAGCCGTGCCAACAAAATATATAAACTTAAAGAGTCTTGGACATCAACCTAGAGCTCTTCAGCTGATGCCTCTGGACTCCGATGGCTTTGCTGTGTATGCACCACACACACATAACTATTGGCTGCAACAGATGAATGCTTCAATGCAGCTTTAGGATGAGATGAAGAACAGAACAATTCCCTAGAAAATTTCATTAATTTACAGAAAGTTGGCACTATTAAAAGAAAGACAACAGTGGAAACTGTACTTTGGAACTAGCTGTAACAACTCACATCCAATGAGTCCTTCAAGAATTAATTTGATAGAGTTCTTGGTAAAGTGATCTCACCAGAAGAGAGTTGTGACAGAAATAGAATTCAGTTGTGCAGATCATTAACTGAACAAGTTGTTTCATTTCAGATTATGTTTCACTTTGCTAGCTTTCAAATATATTGTCTTTCCATTTTTTCACATTTTCCTAGGGAATTTTATAGTTGTTTTCAAATTCACTTCCAGCTTTCAAAAACACTTTCCAGCTACATTTTTTTCAAATTAAAAACATTGCTATATGATAAATCCCTTGATTTTATCAATGTGCAGCATAAAATTGTTGCTGTAACATGCTTACGTGCACGAACCTTGTTTATGTGGATGATGTTTGCTTGCTGCAAACACAAGACCAAGCAACTTATCCAAAATGTCTTTCATGCCAACTAGAGAATTCGTACCTCATGGCAGGAGAAGAGGCGCACTCCCTCCATCTGATGGAAGACTGGGTAGTGGGTGTTATCAATCGTGTCTCGGCGGTAGACATCTCCCACTGCCAGAAAGGCGTCCAGGCCAGAGTGTATCAAGTCCCACTGATGAGCTGATGTGTGAGCTCTTAGCATGTGGTCACGATTCAAGTAATAGTTATCCTCTTTCCTTCTGCTGGCATGGTTTTGTGGAATAAGTAAACTGTCAAAATTTTGCTGGACAGTAACCACCGGAGAAAGACGGTCATACACGGAAAAGAGCGGAGTCCCACGGCGACCTAGGTAATGTTTGTAGAAGTGCTCCTTCACCTGCTCCTTGATTAGCCACAAAGGGTGATGTTTTCTGTTGTGCAAGTTCTTCCCCACCTTGGAAAGAATCTTCTCTGTGACATTACTGTAATCATCTTGAGGATAAGATTTACCAAGCAGTTCCACAGTATTTGAGCAGGGTGCACTGGCAGCAAAATCTGAAGGTACAGACTTGGATGAAGAATGCCTTGAATGGGTGGGGATTCCTCTTACCCTTACTTTTGGTGATAAAGCTGTTTTAGAATACTTAGCTACTCTCATGAATTTCCAGAGCATTGCCATTGTAAACTTTTTTATGATCTAGAGAAAGAAAAGAAATTAAAAATATTTGAGTTAGGAACAGCAATATTGCTGCAGGAACAGATAAATCCAAATGTCTGCTTGATTAGTATGACAAAGTTCCCATTACAAACCACTCTTTTGACTTCAGAGGATGGAAAATATCCTTGTGGTCAAATTTCAGCTAGGATATTTTATTCAGTTATCAGGTTTCTGCATGACTGCACCAGTATTAATGACTCTAGGCCTAGCCTGAATCCCATCCAGATGATGCTCTTTAAAGATGAATAAACATCAGGCCTTCTTTGAAACAATATTTTTCATCCAATTAAAACATGCAGCAGTAACCTAATATTACTTAAGAGAAACCTGGAAACTTAACAGTGCCCTTCAGCAGTCAGAACTCGCTTATAATAAGCAATTAACTTATTGCTCTATCATCTTCCCCATTAGCAGAAGCTGCAGAACATGTTCCACATCTACCTGATGCATGGGGCACGCACTATGCAATCATCACTAATTCTTACTTAATGCCAGACAAAACCAGTTTAACCTTTCAAACTACTGAACCACTGTGAAAAAACAGATGGCCAGACAAGTCATATATTTATATATAAACAGCTTATTAAATTCACATGAGTATTTCACAAGACTCACAATAAAGACTCCATATAGTCAGAACCAATGTTAGGATTTTGCAGCGAGCACAAAACCCCTTTTTCCATATGTTCCCCAGGATGGCTATTTTCACAGCTTCCACTGCTGTACAGGGGAGGCAGGCTTGTCAGATACCAGGAAGGCAAAGTGATGAGATTCTTCAAGTTGTCTGAACTGAAGAACTCATTTCCCATCAAAGGGCCATCTTTACACATCCTCCCTGTTCACACACAGGCTTTGTGCTTCATGTGTACACAGCTGCATTCTCTGTAGAGTTCAAAGATAATTCCAAAACCAAAGAGTCTTGAGAGTGATGAACCTTTCAGTCACTCCATTTGCACGAGCCCATTCTGAGATGAAAAATTATTTTAAAATCTATAGTTGGGCTTCAGAAATATTAGCAAAGCTTCCAGTAAAATAATTAAGCACTAAAATTTGCTTATTATGGAATGGGAAAACAGAGGCATTAGAAGTTAAGGGACTGGGGAAAGGCATCTGCTACAAACTGGTTTGCATTTCTCTATGAACCAAGAATTACAGGGCCAGAGGTTTTGTGAGTGAAAGAATTTTCTGTGGAAGTTATCCTAAAGAACTTGGGGAAGAAAGGACATAAGCAATAATAAATGCACTACAGTTTTCAAGGGATACCTTCCAATCTTTAGGATTATAGTATCTGGCTAGCTTTCCACAGAACACAAGGAAAACAAGTGTAAGTAACAAAATAAACAAGGTGAGACTATTTTCATACTCTCATGCTAAAAAATATCTATGCAAATAGGACAGACATACGAGAATACAGAGTCCCAGAAAAACAAATCTGTAAAAGGTAAGGAGTATGGTCACATTTGTCTTTCTTTCTTCTGGCTTATATAGAAGTTTTCCATAGGTCTATTTTCTCAAGTAATTGTATCTCAATCAATCAAAATAAAGGCAAGTTGGGTAGACAGAAATTAAACCTGGCGGGTGGGGAAGAGTAAGATTACTGAATATTTGGTTTAACCCTTTTACTAGTAGAATATATTTAGAAATAAATAACAGCTATAAATTTTATCTAGTTTTGAAACTTTTAAGAATGACTGCCTTTGGGAGGGGTGCAGTTAAGAGTTTACAAAACTATTTCACCAAATTAGCTCTTCATCACTATTGAGAATGTTCTTCAATAAATGAATTCACTCACACACACCTCTGATAGAAGCTAAGCAAGGGATAGTCTTACATTTTGAAAAGAGACTCCATTTTCCTGAAATATACGTTCTCCTTCATGGAAAGTGAGCTCTCATTTTCAAACAGCTGCTTGAAGTACCCAGTCCTAGTCAGATAATGAATTCAGCTTCCCTTAAGTAAATATCACCATCTGCCCATACATTTATTTTTCTAAAAACTTAATTCAAAACTTACACATAACCGTAATGTACAAAAAAACTCTCATAACTTTATTGTGATTCTTGTGATGTTTGCTGCTTTCTTAAATATCATTCCTCTCAGAATCAGACAACCATATGAGAAGCTTAACTTTCACATAAACAGTTTCGATGATTATAAATTTATGGAAAAATAAATAAGAACATGCACCACATGTATTGGGGGGGTACTCTGTTTGTTTGTTTAAGACTCATTCTTTTTAAGGAAGACTCCAGTATATACATCTTCAAGGGCTTACCTGATGACATTTCAGTATTTGTAATGAGGAGCCCTGCTATTAGTTTCTAACAGTTCAGAAACACTCTTTTTTCTGAGCAAGTGATATATACTTCTCACAAACTCGTACAGGAGAAAAACCTACGGATGAACTTGTATCTGAATTTTCATCCTAATATTCTGCCTGTGCCTTAATTAGTTGAACAGCATTATTACCTGCATTATTATTCTAATCCAAAGCAAAATCTGAGCAGTAAATAATGTGAACAGTAAGAAAAGTTATAGTTTTTTGACGAATTATCCAATGTCCAAGTACTGCAAACAACAGCAAGCAAGCATGAAATGTGCCCCTAACATGGTATTACACAGAGTTCCAGAAACACAGGTCCTTCACCAAAACTGCTGCTTCCCTCTCTCACCACAGTCACGTATTCCTCTTTCAGAATCATTACAGAAAAATGATATTGGACTTAGTTCAACTCAACTGGTGATAAGTCACATTTGGACAGAGAAACCACAGAGAAGAAAGAAAGTAAAATATGTTTACACTCTGCAGACTGTACACAAAATCTTCGAATCAAAATAATGTTTACCAAGGCAAAGAGCAACACTGGAAAATAAAGACATTTCTTCATCTTTCTTCTAGCAATATATACTTGGTGTTAAGAATACACTAATTACTTATGTCCACTTATAATAAACAGACATCCATTCATTTATTTCTATTTATTTTGTCTACGTTTATCTAAATGTCTGGAAAAGCAGTTTAAATGTATCATTTTCTTGCTTTATTTCCACCATGCTTTTCACTTGGCAGGGAAACAAACCTATGTTCTGTGCACACTGAGGAAACCTGAATCCCACAGCAAGGCCTGCCAGCCAGCTAACAAGAACAGCGAGCCAAACAGCAGCTGCAGGTCCTGTAGCTGAAAACAAATACATAAACAGGAAATAGACATTGAACGACCACCACTGGCATCTGTGATCCAAAGACTGCAAAGCCCTCCACCAGCATCACCAGTGAGTCCTGCACTCTGGCTTTGACAGTGGCTCTGGCTTGCAGCTGAGAGCTGACACAGGGCTTTGGATGCAGACGCAGGGCTTTGGATGCAAGGATGTTCTGATGGCAGCTCCCTGTGGGGCTCCTCAAAGCTCTACAGGTGGATATGCAAGCACCAGCCCCAACACCTCCTATTCTACATGTCCTCAGCCAGACACCACCACTGACACATTCCAGGGTACCTCAGCAGCTCCCCTGAAGCTCCATGGGCTCAGGATGCTGTACCTCAGTACCCATACTGAGATGTCTACCACAACGCTAGTGTTGGATAGGAATGACACCATACATTACCTTGTGCCAATATGCTTGGAACTATGCTTGTACCTAGGCATGAGATTTTGAGCAACTCCAAGGCAGACCAGAGGGCAGGAGGTGGCATCCATGCCACCCAGGGGTGGAGGCATAAGAACAACCCTGTCCATGCTGTGCACAGACCAGGCATCGATACAACCACTCTTACCAACATCAGTCCTGCACCACAGACCCTGAGACATTACAGCAGTTTGATTTGAAGGACAAGGCTCCTTCCTCCCCCACGGAAAACCAACCATTCCCCATGCAGCAGCCCAGCAGACATTACACATGCTGAAGTACACCACAGTCAGGAGCCTGACAACAGGGAAACAGCAGACAGAATACATCAAACAAAAAATTCCATGGTTTTGGAGCACATGCAAAAGGCAGTTTGATTTGATAAGGGATCATACTGCTGTACTGTTAAGGAATGTCCTTTCATGTCTAAATCCAGGTTTCCATGTCATAGCGCAGCAAGGATTAAGACAGCATTATCACAGCTGCAGTGGTATTTGTCACAATTCTCCACTACCCAGCTGAGGTTTAGGAAAGAATCGTAGACTCAGTGAAATTCCTCCTTACACCTGCTTTGAAAAAGGAGGAGAAAAGAGGGGTAGTTCAGCAACTCACAATGAAAAGAGACAGTGTTGTGCACCAACATTGTTTTATTCACTCACCTCCCCTGTAAAAGTGGAAGAGAGAGAATGCTCCTGTTTGAGCAAACTAGTGGCCAAACTAGCCAGCTTTTGGGGCCATTAGCTTGGTGAGCCAAGGGCACCCTCACTCCTGCTGACCGCTTTTCTCTCTGACCTGTGCTTTCTACAGCTTATGGCTACAGAAACACAGATGGGCTACTGCATACATAAACCCAAGTACATGACGGGTTTGAAACCAAAATTCTACAAAGATGAGAGTCTGTCTCCTATCCAAGAATAGCTAATTAATGCAAGACTCTGAAGTGCCATGGAAAATGTTAGAAAAGTTGGGCTGCCACCATTTTGTGATGTGACAGCTTTTATCTACCGTATGTGTGGGGAGGGGAGTTCAACCAACATAGCATATGTTAAAACAAAAATTATAAACATATGTTAGGCTGCTAAAATTGGACATTTACCAGCCTGCTTAGCAATTTAGCTAAGCATTGAATTTTAGTTTTGAAAACTATGTAGGCATACAGCAGCAAATATCATTGTATTGCCATGACCGTATCTGCATTGCATAGGATATAACATAAATTATTTTGCATGCAAAACTAATAACAAGCTCATTTTTTACTGCTCATTTTAAAACGATGACACATTGTTGCACACCAGAACAGACTACTACTGAGCATGCTAAATTTATGTAATACACACAGACTTCTGAAATAGCC